GGAAGCAACCTAGATGCCCCTCTACTGAAGATTGGGTGGAGAAAATGTGGTACATTTACACAATGGAGTACTACTCAGCAGAAAAAACAATCAATGGAATCCTGAAATTCACAAGCAACTGGATGGAACTAGAAGAAGCCATCCTGAGTGAGGTAACCCACTCACAAAAAGACAATAATGATATGTGCTCACTCATATTAGGATTTTAGACCTAGTGCAAATAAGTAGCAGCCTATAATCCACACCGCCAGAGAAGCTAGGAAACAAAGAGGACTGACCCTAAGAAAAACATGCATGATCCCCAGGAGAAGGGGAAAATGGACAAGATCTCCTGAGCTAATTGGGAGCATGGGGGAGCAGAGAGGGAGCTAGAAGAAGGAGAAGGGGAGAAGAAGAGGGGAGAGGCAGACATGAGAGAGCAGGAAGATCTAGTCAGGGGAAGAATAGAGGAGAGGAAGAAAAGAGATACCATAATAGAGGGAGCCATTATGGGCTTAAAGAGAATTCTGGCACTAGAGAAATGTCCAGAGATCTACAAGGTTGTCCCCAACTAACAATCTAAGCAATAGTTGACAGGCTACCTTAAATGCCCTTCCCTGATAATGAGATTGATGACTACCTTATAAACCATCCTAGAGCCTTCATCCAGTAGCTGATGAAAGCAGAAGCAGACACCTACAGCTAAATAAACACTGAGCTGAACTCCTGGAATCCAGTTACAGAGAGGGAGGAGTGATGAGCAAAGAGATCAAAACCAGGTTGAAGAAACCCACAGAAACAGCTGACCTGAACAAGGGGGAGCTCATGGACCCCAGACTGATAGCTGGGAAACCAGCATAGGATTGTTCCAGACCCTCTGAAAGAGGATGTCAGTTTGGTGGTCTGGGCAATTTATGGGACCTCTGGTAGTAGATCAGTATTTATCCCTAGTGTACAATTGGACTTTGGGAGCCCATTCCATATAGAGGGATGCTCCCTCAGCCTGGACACCTGGGGGAGGGTCTAGGCCCTGCTCCAAATGATATGACAGACTTTGAAGATCCCCCTTGGAAGGCCTCACCCTCCCTGGGGAGCAGAAATGGTTTGGGATATGGGGAGGGGCAGGGAAGGAGGGGAGTGCAAGGGAATTGGGATTGACATGTAAAACAAGCTTGTTTCTAATTTAAAGAAAAAAGAAAAAATACCAGTGAATGACTATTAGGCTGATCTCAGGGTTAATGTAATCAAACTCCAGTAGTACTCTAATTTGAAATCAGCTTCCAACAACCAAGAATATAGCTGCTTTCCCTAGGCACACTATTTCTAAACTGTGTCTATTTGGCATCTTACAGTTTTGCAAGTGTCTCTTCCCACAGCTGCTTCCCTGTGCTGTCTTTCACCCTAGAGCTGTTTACATATCATCTCCTAATCTTGTAGCTGTTCCTCCTTGAGGCTCCAGTGTAGCTCAATTTCCAAGGATAGGTTATCTCTCCAGTTAGCAAGCTGTCCCTTCTCTCCAAGTTATAGAACTTGATAGAATGAAATTTCTTTCCACTGCTGGCCATCCTGTAGAGGATTACTCTCTCACCTAAACCTCCATCTGCTTTTGAATTTTGTAAGGCTGTGGACTTCTCTTGAAGGTGAGAATGACTGCAAGATCCTTATCCTCAGGACTCCCAGGCTTATCTTTTGGCAGGTTCTTTGGTGTGAATCCAAGAATGTAGAGCGAAGTTCTGTTTGGTTTTTTTTTCTATGAATCACTACTATTTTTCTACACAATTTTCAGGTATGCTGTCAGTGTCTTAGGGAATTTCTGAGACTTTTCTTTTATCTTCTTTCTTTCCTTCTTTCTTTTTTCTTTCTTTTTTTCTTTAGAATGTATCTATTTTTTCATATTCTGACTCTTCTGCTTTACTGGATCACATGGAGGCAGCTTTTAGTCCATTAACAACCCCAACTCAATCATTTAACTATTACACATTATTTTGTATAATGTTAATACATTATTTTGAGATGTTAACATAAATAATACCTAGAGTAAATTTCCCTTATACTGGATCACCCATTATCTATGCTGATAGATAAAGTTTGATAGTATTTTTTAAAGGCCTTGTAACACACCAATGACTCATTTCAATGAACATTTACAAGTAAAGATGCATGGACTAAAAGGTATACTGTGTGACCCACTGTGTCCCACTAAAGCTTCCACATTGATATTTTTTAATTGTTTTGTTGTTGATGATGATGTTTTGATTTTTGTTTTTCTTTCCTTCTCTATATTTTCTTTTTAATTAATCATTATTTAAATTAAAAACAATCTTATTTTATATATCAATCCTAGTTCCCTCTCCCATCCTTCCATCTTCCCATCCTCCCATCTTGCCATCATCTCCCCATCCCACCTCCATCCACTCCTCAAGAAGGGTGAGGCCTCCTATGTGGGATCCTCAAAGTCTGTCACATCATTTGGGGCAGGAATGAGGCCATCTCTCCTGTATCTAGGCTGAGAGAGTTTCTTTCCATAGGGAATGGGCTACAAAAAAGCCAGTTCATGCACTAGGGATAAATACTGGTTCCACTGCCAGCGGCCCCATAGACTGCCCAAGCCCCACAACTGACACCCATGTTCAGGGGGCCCTGTTAGGTCTTATTCAGGTTCCCCATATGTCAGTCTAGAGACTGTAATCTCCCACTTGCTCAGAATAGCTGTTTCTGTGGGTTTTCCAAGCATGTTCTTGACCCCTTTGCTCATTACTCCTCCCTCTCTATAGCTGGATTCCAGGAGTTCCCAGATGTGTTTCCCTCGACATTTCATCCTTATGTATTTCTGTTTCAAGTCTTCATTCCTAAGCTGAATACTTTTATTTATTGAACTTGGATTTCTTTCTTCCCTGTTTAAGTTACAGACCATGTGGCCCTGACCCTATTAACAGATTTGTATCATATCACTTTCAATCATCGAGGAGAACTACATACCACCTGGCGTGCATTAAGTGCATTTGAGAGACAACAGACACTCATTAGAGTGTTCAAGGAAGTGGCTCACTCAGAATAGTACAAAAGACAGAGCTGGCTTTCCCTGGCAGGACCCAGAGGCATTGTACAGCAGCAGATGCTATCTAGAATATCTCTTGCCCACCCCTTGTGCCTGCATCCTCAGACCACACTGAATCTTGAAGCTGGATTTAAAATTCAAGGATACACTAAGCCTAGTCAGATAAGGTATTGTGCACCACAAGCATACTCCTTACCAAGATTCCACACCTCCTCTCCTCTGGACCCTACTTAAGGCTATGTTGAACTCTATAATCATACCTAAGTGGCAGCTATGATCAGTCTCTGGATAGGCTTTGCATTTTTTCCTAAGGACTTCAGGAATTTTTTCTCCTATGGAAATTTCTATGGCCTCTCAGGTCATGTCTGTTTATACACTGACTATCCTGTTTGTCAAGAAGCTTCTGTTGGTATATTGAATTTTTAAATCACATTTATAGCAACCCCAATAATCTTAATGTTATTACATAAACCCAACCATCTATGGATGAAGATTAATTTTCTGATTATTTGAATGATAAAATGCTTCTGGGGACTGGGAATTTCAAGACTGGTAAATTTGACATTTAATAAGAGCTGCTGTTTACTTCCAAGGACACAGCTTTCAAATTTTCTGGTTATAAGGGCAAGATAACCCTAGAAAAGAAATCAAAAAAATTATCCCCATTTATGCTTTGACTATTTGGACAGCATCTTTTTTGTCAACTGAGACATTTTGGAACAGCAAGAAATGAAATAAGAAACCAAAGGCCTGCCTTGGGCAGGGAGATAGGGAACAAAGTGTGCTATAGACAGACTCTTCTACAACCCTGGCATGTACCAGGTGCCTGATATTTGTGCAATTACAAAGAATCAGAAACTTCATTTGCTCTCTCAAAAGTAGTTTGAGAAATGTGGCAGCAGAGTGAAAAATCATTGATCGTGGAACAGCTGGCATCCTGCCTAAATATATTGGAAGTTAGTTTGGATATCAATTTGAGTATAGACCCTTCCATCTTCTTCCCTGGGTTTTGTTGTTGTTATTAACTAGAGTATGTCAAAAATGCAACTCAAGGAGGAAAAGAACACCAAATCAGAAAAAAATGCTTTACAACTAAAACGGATATATTCCCTTATAGATGGTATATTATTTGGGGGGTAAGAACACTGTTCTTAGCTGATAAAATGAGAATCTATCCTAGATTAAGTAAAAAGATAGCTCTTCCTCTTCTCTGTTTACTGTTAATTCTATGTATACTTTGTACAGTAACGTCACTGCCACGAGATCCTTGATCTTGCTTGAATTTGGACAGGTGGCAGTCAAGAACACCCACTTTAATGTGTTGTAAGAGAGAGGGAAATGACTCACAGGTTAGGGGAAAGAGTGATGCACTGATAATTTGTAGACACACTCAAAAGGTGAATCTCTTTCTTCCTAGGAAATCAATCCCTGGACTTTTGAGCATAGAACACTTAGTTTTGATCTACCAAACCTGTGTCCTGTGATACCTTTCAAGGCTTAATATAAAATATATTCCAAAATATTTAATTTCCCAAATCCCCAAATTTCACTGGATCTGAATATTTGCACTTGACTTCTTCTAACCAAAACTGCTCCTCCTCATTTGTTCCTTCTTTCCGCATCTTCTTTACATCTTAACACACGTCTCCCCCTGCTCATTATATGAAAGCTGTTCTCAGAATCTGCCATTCCTTTTGTAGGGAAGTGTCTTATTTTTCTGTGCACTTCATGCCAATATCATATTATTTTCTAAAAAGAAAAGATTCACTCATATTTGGTAAATGAGTCAGTGAGCAGTCTTTATTAAGATTTATTTATATGCCCGATTTTCTTACATGAGCCTGGTAAATATATACTGCATTTTAATTTTACAGAATAAACTAAAAGTATTAAACCAATTCAAAAGTTAACTACATTACACCATTTTCCACTACATTTTTTGAAAAAAACTAATAATAAGTGTGTTACCAGTTTCAATCTTGGATTCTAAAGTTAATCAACTTTTGCTTACAAGGAATAACATTTGAAATTAACCCCAAACTAAACAGCTAAGCAAACCCCAAATTAGCATAGTGATTTTTCTTACATTTTCTAACTTAAACTTTTGGCTGCTCTTTTCAAAATTATAGTGAACCCATGAAAAACAGGTCCCTCACACTGGGTAAGAGAAACTGATAATCAGCGCTCTACAAGCCATGAAGTTGGGCTTCCATTTGCAGAGTCATTCATGGCCCAGGCCCTCTCTTCCTCCTCTCTCAAAGCCTCTTCATACCAGACTGAGAAATCAGTTGGATCACACCCATTCATCTTTGCCAAGAACTCCAAAACTTTCATCTTGGTAGTTTCAGCATAGGCTCTTGGACCCCACAGGAACTCAAAGCATGGAGGCTGGCTATCAGCCCCCTGCCGATACTCCAGGTAATTTTGCTGCACTAGGTCTATGGTGAGGAACTCCCTGGGATCCCCACAAATGAAGTGCTCCTCTCCGTCATGCACTCCCACCAGCTTCAAGAATTCCCAGATTCTTTCTTCAGAAGCACAATTCCCTTCTATGAATATTACACCCAGAATAACTATCAGAAAAGCATTTCTAGGCAGTCTATCATTGTCACTCAGCATGTCCTCATAGGTGAGGTTCAGTGAGTTGACAAAGACATAAGCACTGCTTAGAAGTTCACTTTCCTTTATATCAATACCAAAGGTCATCTCCAAGCATTTAGAAGCTTCCATGAAGATGACAGGAAAATGGTTCTCATAATCTTTTGTGACAACCTCATAAATTTCTGACAATGTGATGGGTTCCTTCATTCTATACTTGTAAATGAAAAGAAACACCAAATCAGTAGCCTTTTCTTGTATCACAATATTCAGCAAGGCTTCAGGGTTTTCTGGAGACTGGATGGCACCCACACTCTCATCCTGGTAGCTGGTTCCTTCATCTAAATTCCCCCCTATGGCAGATGATGGGAAGAAGCTTTGAGCATTCTGAAAAATACTCAGCATCCCAGGGGAATAGCCCTCACTTCCGCCTAGGTTGCTCTGAAGCAGAGAAAAGAAGGAAGAAGAGGAGGATGAGGAGGAAGGGGAAGGAGGGGTGAAACTAGGTAAAGAGACATTAGATGAAAAAAAGATGGAAGCTATGTCTGATTCTTCCTCTCCTGTCTCAATTTCTTCCTCTCCTGCATCATTTTCTTCCTCTCCTGTCTCATTCTCTTCCTCTCCTGTCTTATTTTCTTCCTCTCCTGCCTCATTTTCTTCCTCTCCTGCCTCATTCTCTTCCTCTCCTGCCTCATTTTCTTCCTCTCCTGCCTCATTTTCTTCCTCTCCTGTCTCATTTTCTTCCTCTCCTGTCTCATTTTCTTCCTCTCCTGCCTCATTTTCTTCCTCTCCTGCCTCATTTTCTTCCTCTCCTGCCTCATTTTCTTCCTCTCCTGCCTCATTTTCTTCCTCTCCTGCCTCATTTTCTTCCTCTCCTGCCTCATTTTCTTCCTCTCCTGTCTCATTTTCTTCCTCTCCTGTCTCATTTTCTTCCTCTCCTGTCTCATTTTCTTCCTCTGCTGTCTCAATTTCTTCCTCTCCTGTCTCATTTTTTTCCTCATCCACTTCATCGCAACCCTGTTCTTCTCCATCTTTTTCCCCCTTTGATTCATCATCTTCTTGCTTCTCATTGTTATCTTCCTCATTTTTCAGCTTATTGTTATCTTCTTCTTTAATCTCCTCTTCTCCCTCTCTCTCCTCCTTCTCAGCTGTGGGAACCAGAGGCAACTCGTCTGTTTCAGGTGGGTCCTGGAAGTTTACACCTTCCTCCTCCAAGCTGAGGCGTGGGTGCTTTCCGTAGCGAGACATTATTTTGTTTCCTGGAGACAGAAGACAGAAATGGAAACAGGAATAAGGGTGACAAGATTCTATAGGCATGGGGAGGCAATAGGAGGCATGAAAAAAAAAGCAGCCTCAAAAGAAAATAGCAGCTCATGAAAGCTCTAACAAAGGTCAACTTACAGGTCTTTTCTAGGTGATATGGTATAGCCTCAGAGTTCCACAGACTTTCTGTTTGGCTTTTCCTTTAACCTACAAAAGAAAATGATAAAGGTTCTTAGGGTTCAGCCAGATGGCAGGGTCTGACTTCAAGACGTACACTAGAATATGTGGGACCAATTGCTTGGGGTACCTGTGTTTTTCAGTATAATGTTTGCGCATCTTCAAGTACACACCTCACTTTTGGACTCTTAACACTTTCTGGATCTCTTTTGCTTTATGATTCTGAGAACATGTAACTGACCACAATTTTCTCACTATAGTTCCTGGAAGCTTTGTAACAGGTGGCATCCCTAGGTTAAGAGTGAATGTAGAGCGTTGGGCTCTCAGTGCTGTCCAGGCTCAACTCTGACAGCTGTAGGGTGAAAGGCCCCCATTTGTGCTTACCCTTACCCTAGAAAGGGATGGATTATACCCATCTGGTAGACTGAGGTCAAATTCGCAGGACAAGACTGAACATTACTAACACAATGAAGTGAAAATGATGGAACACCATTTAGAACCATATCAGGCTAACCTGAATGACAATGAAATGCCAGCCAAACTGCAGTGATCACCGTTCTCCTAATTTAGAGGTTCTTTTATTCTTTTTTTCTGTTTATGAATCTATCTATCATCTATCTATTTATTCACTTATTTTATAGCCTGATTGCAGTTCCCCTATCCTCCACCCCTCCCATTCCCTTCCCTTTGCTCCTCCACTCCACTCCTCTGTTTCTGTTTGGAAAGGGGTAGGCCTCCCATGGGTATCAACAAATCATGGCATATCAAGTTGCCATAAGATCTTTCATTCTTTATCATGATAACTTTCAGAATTTTCCCTTTGATGCCACTGGTCTGCCCCTCAGGAAAAAGTACTCAATATGTGAGCATAGAGATAGGGTATGAACCACAAATAACCATGTACACAGCTCCTCCAAGAGATGGCAAGAGGACATAGTTGAGCCTAGTATGCCTTTTGTCCTTAAAAGGAGGGTAAGGACTGTGTCTTTGTTCCTCATTCAGGAATATTACCTGATCTCCACACAGATTTTTCTCTCTGATGATCTGCTATTCCTCTTTCCCAGATAGCCTTTTCTTCTGATGAAGATGCTTCCTTCCTGAAAATACAGACAACAGTGAAATACTGGTGAAGCTTTGACCCAAGAATTAAATGTTCTTTATCACAATAGAATTACAGGAAGACATCCCTAACTGGCCAGGTAGTTGTCTTAGGATGTTCCAGGTGATTCAGAATTGCTCCAGATTCTTGAGTTCCATGTTGGGACTCTGAAGTTAACGAGGCTCTTTTAGAGGGTGCTGGACTACAGTCCATGGAGGAGGAATTTCAGCATTGGGAAATAAGCAGAAAAGGGCCCCGAATGAGGAATGAGAACACTGGTTAGAATCATTCTCATCCCCAACAGATGTAAAGGAACTCATTTTCCCTTCTGTCTAATTTCCTATGGGGAAGGGGCTCCAGGCAGAGAGGAAGGTATGCTATATCAATGATTTCTTATTTGGGAGGCCTTTTTAGAAGAGGCATGACTATGATTAGCAGCAGAGGTTTGTAGAATATCAGTGATAGGACTCTGTCATATTTCCCCAGTCCTCCATCATTGCGGTAGGCTCTTGGATAATTTCAAAGGCAAAGAATCCTACCCAGCTTTTTGAAATACATTCTCCTTCTGATAGGATGGATCTGAACCCAGAATTGTGGTTAAATTGGTGTTCTTGCTGATGTTTAGTCTCAGCATTCAGGTAAGCAAGATGAACAGTACTGGTTTCTGAATGGAAAGGCAGAGTCTCCCAAAGGACCCTCCCCTTCTCTCATTATTTTCACAGGCCTCTTTCAGGTTATTTTTTTCCTTAGTGAACAGTGCTATTTCCCTACTATGTCTGTGGAAGAAAGGAAAGTTCTGATTCTTCCCTCAGAGTCATATCCCTCAAGACTGTTGGGTGCCTAATACCCTGCTGAAAAGACTCAACTCTCTCAGCCTCTCAGCAAAGAGTCCCATTCATCAGCCTGCCTAGAGTCACACAGGGACAGGAGCTGAGGAAAATAGTGGCAGAGGTCTATTTCTGTGGAAGACTGGCAGACTCTTCTTACCTCAGAGTCTTCCCAGTCCTCCCTAGAGATCTGCCCCTGATTTTTCTCCATGCAGGAATATCAGTGAAAAACCCAAGTCAATATCAGGTGTCAAGTTATTACTTCTCTTATTCCCTGAGCATTTCACCAGGTTAGCAAAAATGTTTCCCACTGTGACATGGCCTAGAGCAGTGGTTCTCAACCTGTGGGTAAATGACCCTTTCACATGACTCACATATCAGATATCCTGTATATCATATATTTACATTATGGTTCAGAATAGTAGCGAAAATATCAGTTATAAAGAAGAAAATAAACTTATGGTTGGGGGTCATCACAAAATGAGGAACAGATTTAAAAGGTCACAGCATTAATAAGGTTGATAACTACTGCCCTGTAGCCCAATCAAGAAATTTCCTAGTCAAGCAGCACTGAGATTCTGTCCCAGTTTCTACAGGTTACAGGCACATTCCAGGGGATGGCAAAAAGGTTGCTCTCTCAAGGTCTTCCTTTTCAAGGTTCATATTCTTACATGTGATGACCAGAGTCCTAATCTTTCCACAAGAGCTTCACCTCCCTCACCTTGCAAGATAAAGTTCTAGAAACATTAGAC